GCTTTCTTCGTGTGTGCTTATAATAATATATTATTCCGGTATAATAATAATAATAATAATAATAATAATAATAATAATAATAATAATAATAATAATAACAACACTGTGGGTATTAGTAAACTGTGCGGCTGAACTCTGAACAATCCCATCTGCAACTGCAAGGCGTCAATCCGCACGTAAATCAGACACGTTTCCAGCTACATAAAACATCAGAGGACAATGAAGCAGCAGCATTAATGAGCAAAGAACTAACACACGTTTTCCCCGGGACAGTGTCTTCGCGCCGTCGCTGAAGAACTGCGGCGTCCATCTCTCTTTGTGATACTAGTGAATAGTATCACTGAAAATATACTGTTTAACATTGCGCCCCAAAATACAGAAATCACGTCGCGCATAGACAGTCACACATTGCAATATGAAACACAATGACACAACTGCGCACGACAACAAAGCCTGAGGAGGACTTAACAGCCCCCAGTGTGGCCCGGACCCCGGTTTGTTTTGGGGGTGCCGGAGGGGAGAGGAAGGGTGGGGACACGCAGTTTCAGCTTAGCCAGGGTCACCCCGGTTTGTTTTGGGGGTGCCGGAGGGGAGAGGAAGGGTGGGGAAACGCAGTGACCCAGGATGAGCTTAGCCAGGGTCACTCGGAAGGCGGGAGCGGGGTTTCAGCACGAGCCCAAAGAGCGGCGGCGCCGCCGGGGTGTCGGGGCCACAGGCGCGCGCGCTGACCCGTCTCTCCCGCCACAGAGGTCACTCAATACTGAGAAAACAGTACCAGTCAAAGCGACAGCTCAACACAGACACCTTTTTCGCCCTCACGGAAAGACGTAAACAGCGCGGGGATCTTCGGTTTATACGCCTGTCGCTCTTGCTGTCCACCCAGGTCGATGTCACCCCAAAGAAAACTGTTACCCGCGTTTGATGTCCCGATTCCCTCGGAAACACAGCTCGCTTACTGCTGAACTACCTTTCCGTCTCTAGACAACGGACAGCGGGGTCAATCCGACTGCTCGGCCTGTATTGTCCAGTGACAGAGGCTCGGGGCGACCCCACTGTCCGTCTGCCTGTGCTCAGTGTCTCTCCCCCTCTCGACCTGGGGCCTCACATCACAGCTGCGTCACGCCTTCTGTCAC